TTGGTCCTCAGTTTTCCAGTAAATCATGTGAAAATATTAGTCACTTAGTTGTGTCCGACTCTTTGTGATGCCATGGGCTGTAGCCGCCAGGCTCTGCTATCCAGGGGGTTTTCCAGGCAAGAATACTGGTGTGGGTTGGCATGCCCTCCTCCAGGGGACCTTCCCAACCCAGGGATGGAACCCATGTGCCTTATGTTTCCTGCATTAGCGCGTGGTTTCTTTACCACTAGTGCCCCCTGGGAAGCCCCAGTAAATCATGTAAAGGAAATGAATGTTGCCTGTCATTCCAGTTCTGTCAATGCCTTTGGTTGCGGTCTCACCTCACTGTGGTGTACCCTGAGAGGACTTAAGGATGGAAAAGTGGAAAGTGTTTTGTGCTTTGGATATAGCAACCCCTAGATTTAAAAAAAATTAGTTTGTTTTACTTTTGGTTGCGCTCGGTCTTTTGCTGCTGCGTGCTGGCTTTCTCTAGTTGCGTGGAGCAGGATCTATTCTCCAGCTGCGGGTAGCAGGGTAGTGACTTCTCTTGTTGCAAAGCACGGGCTCTAGATACATTGGCTCGGTAGTTGTGGCAGAACGGCTTACTTGCTCCAAGATAGGTGGCATCTTCCTGGACCAGGGATCAGACCTGTGTCCCCTGCACTGGCAGACAGATTCTTAACCACTGTACCACCAGGGAAGTCTCAACTCCCAGATTGTTAAGATACATATCTAAGGAAAAATTTCATTAATATGATTCCCTGCCCCAGCAAGAAGTTCATATATAGCCTTACCTCCTCCGTTGCCTCACTGGACCAGTTCTTCCGCCCTCTGAGGGGCTGTTTCCTGAGCTATAGTCCTCAGCAAGAGCCTGAATGAAACTGAACTCACAACTGTTACATTGAGGACTTTTCTTTCAGTTAACAACCAAGTGGAGCTGGTAGTCCCACTTCAGAATGCCCATCAGGGCTACTGACAAGATTAAGTGAGAAAATGGGTGCAAAAGTACATCATAAGCTTGGTTAAGTATGAGGCAGATAAGTGGCATTGTTTTTAGACTATAGAATGTGGTGGTTGAGGGCTAAGTGTTGGCTTTAGACAGATCTGGGGTTTGGACCCTAATCCCACTACTTGCTGGCTGGCTGGAAGTATCTGGGCAAACTAGTAATGGCCGGAAGACAGCTCTCTGGGCCTCAGTGTCTCCTCCTGTACCAGTGGTGTTGGGAACCAAGACCTCTAGGGACGTGTAGGAGGCAGAGTGGCCCCCAAAGCTGTCCGTATTCCCCTGGGACCTGAGAGTATGTTGTGAATTACATAACATATTTGGTAACTGTGAATATATTACATGGCAAAAAGGACCTTGTGGATGTAATTAAAGTTAAAGATCGTAAAATAAAGAGACTGGCGTGGATCATCCGAGTGGACTCAATCTCTGCCCTTTAAAGCAAAGGATGTTTGGGGGCTGGATTTAAAGAAATGAGGTAGAAAAGGAAAGCAGGAAGAATTAGAGATATCCCAAGTATGAGATAATCAGATGTGCTGATGCTGGCTCTAGTTAGCCTTGCAAGTTGTCGTCTGAGAGACTTTGGGCAAATTTAAAGCATGAGAATGATCTGAGGTGCCATGGCTGGGTCTGAGATGCAAGCAGCCACAGGTAGGGTGTCAACCAAAATGAACAGTACAAGAGGCTGCAAATAAGAAAAGACTTCGTTTGGTATCTTGGGAATTGCAGTTTGGGACACACAGGTTCATGGTAACCATGAAAGTGTGTTCTGAGGAATAGAAAGACTCAGGGGCTTATAAGGATTTGCCGCTTGTTGTTAAAAATTGCCTGGCAAGAATTGATCAGCTCTGACGTGAAAATGATTCCTATCCTTAAGGAATCATAAACTGTTTCAGGGTAAGGGTCCGATGAGTAGATGGACTGTCACGAGTTACTTTAGGATAAGGTTCTGATAAGTATCTTGAGTTTCTGACAGGTGTTCTGGAAGACTTCATCAGGTCATGTGTCGGATTCCATCCTTAGGAAATGCGCATTAAGTCACATTTCCTTAATGGCTTTCAGCTTCATTTTAGAGCTCTCTGAGCAATTATGACTCCACTTGGACTTTTTTCTTTCACATTTCTTCCTTTTGACCAAGATCTTTCTTTAGAAAGCATTGGTGAGCGATCTTTTGGGTATTTGGCATTGGTATCATCTCCCTTCGGTGCTGGGAAGGCTCAGTCCCAGAGAGTCACGTCTCACAAGGAGAGAGAGCAGTGCTGTGTGAGAAGGGTGCCCGTGGAGAGCTTATGGCCACATTTGAACACAAGCAGTCATGTTAGGACTATTACTTGGTCATTATAAAGAATGAAATACAGCCATTTTCAGCAACAAGGATGGACCTAGAGAGTGTCATACTGAGTGAAGTAAGTCAGATGGAGAAAGAGAGAGATCATACGAACACCCCTTATATGTGGAATCTGAAAAGAATTGATACAAATGAACTTGCTTATAAAACAGAGACTCAGGACTTAGAAAATGAACTTATGGTTGCTGGGGGGAAGGGATGGTTAGGGATTTTGGGAAGGTCATGTACACATGGAAACATTTAGAATGGATAACCAGCAAGGGCCTGTTGTATAGCACATGGAACTCTGCTCAATGTTATATGGCAGCCTGGATGGGAGGGGGTCTTGGGGGAGAGTGGGTACATGTATATGTATGGTTGAGTCACTTTGCTGTTCCCCTGAAACTACATCAACATTGTTAATCTGCTTTACCCCAATACAAAATGCTTTTGGTGTTAAAAAAGTAAAACTGAATTGCAAAGACGAAAACAAGGAGTCATTTTAGGAAGTGAGTCGTAGGCAGTCTTCAAAACAGACATGGATCCTTATGAGGAGGAATCTTGCAGGAGTGATTAATCATCTCCAGATGGTAAACTATCACTATGCCCAGTTCAATGGTAAGACCCAAAAGCTTATCAGAAACTAATATTCTACAGTAAGTGTCAGAATCCTTTCCATGAATCTCTTGTAAGAGGAAGCATATTTGTAAAAGAATCAGAGTGAAACAGTAACTGCCTACAAATGATCTAAAAATGCCCATTATTGAAAACCCGAGAGCTTAAAAAGGACGAGAGAGTTGTCTAGGAATCGAGGGTGGCCCCAACCAACAGCCAGCAAGAATATGGGGCCCTCAGTCCTACATCCCAAGGAACTGGAGTCTGCCAACACCCTGAATGAACCTGAATGAGCCTGAATGAGCCTACATCTCCGGTAAGAGGCCTGTCAGCGAACACCTTGCTTTTTGTATTTTTGTTCATTTATTTTTGGCTGTGGAGGGTCTTCATTGCTGCATGGGCTTTTCTCTATTTGCCATGCACAGGCTTCTTACTGTGGTGGCTTCTCTTGGTGGAGAGCATGGGTTCTAGGCTGTGCAGGCTTCAGTAGTTTACATCTTGGGCTCTGGAGCACAGGCTCAATAGCTGTGGTGTCCCGCTTAGCTGCTTGATGACACATGGAGTCTTCCCAGATCAGGGATTAAACCTGTGTCTCCTGCATCAGCAGGTGGATTCTTTTATCAGTGAGGCAGCAGTGAAGCCCCTAACACCTTGCCTTTGACCTTGTCAGAAGCAAAGCAGAGAAAACTGTTAAATTGACTTGGACTTTGCGTTTTCAGAACTGTTACAATAAACGGTGTCATTTTGAGTTGCTAAAATTGTAATTTGTTACTGCAGCAATAGAAAACTAGTGCAGGAGGGGGCTGTTGGGAGTGGGGCTAGAAGTTTAGCCTGCAGAACATTTGTATAAGGTTAGAAGAAAGTTGGTCATGAGCCTAAGGATACAGGAAAGTGAATAAAGACCCCCCCATGCCTTCTCACAGATTTATTATTCTCCGACCTCTCTTTTCACTCGTTTTTGACTGCTCCCCTCCTCTCTCTCTCTTTTGCTAAGATGTGTGTAGCAAATATCTTCTCCCAACTGAGACTTGACTAGTTTTTAAAATAGCCTTTATAGAACACTTTTCGGCTTACAGAAAAGTTGAGAAGATAGCAGAGAGTATGTGGTTCAACTTTTCACTTTAAGTTTTCTTTGATAAATGCAAGAGTGTAGTTAAAATTTTAAAAAAAATTATGGTCAAGTATGAGTAACATAAATCTGCCATTTAAACCATTTAAAAGTGAGCAGATCAGTGGCATTAGATATATTCACATTGTTACACAACCACTTGTTGTTCAGTCACTAAGTTGTTTCTGACTCTTTGTGACTTCATGGATTGTAGCATGCCAGGCTCCTCTGTCACCCACTACCTCCTGGAATTTGTTCAAATTCATCTCCATTGAGTAAGTGATGTTATCCAACCATCTCATCCTCTGCTGCCCTCTTCTCCTCTTGCTCGCAATTTTTCCCAGCATGAGGATCTTTTCCAATGAATCAGTTCTTCCCATCAGGTGGCCAAAGTATTACTACCATCCATGTCCAGAACTTTTTCATCTTTCCTAATTAAAACCAAATTGGACTTATCAACCAATAATTCCTCATTTCCTTCCCGCAGTCACTGGTAGCCACCATTCTACTTTGTGTCCGTGAATTTGTATGCTCTAGCTTAAAAAAAAATTGAGGTGAAATGCATGTCACATGCAATTAATCAGTTTAAGGTGTAGAATTCAGTGACGTTTTGTGTATATGCACAATGTTATGTGACCGCCAGCTCTCTAGTTTTTTGTTTTTGTTTTTTTTAAATTTTTTTAGTTCTCTACTTTTCATCACCCAAGAAGTAATTACCCATTCAGTAATAACCCCATGTTCCCCTTCGCTTCATCCCATGGCAGCCACTAGTTTATTTTCTGTTTCCATGCATTTACCTATTCTGGATATGGGCTTCCCAGTTGGTGCTAGTGGTAAAGAACCCACCTGCCAATGCAAGGGACATAAGAGATGGGGGTTTGATCCCTGGGTTGGGAAGATCTCCTGGAGGAGGGCAAGACAACCCACTCCAGTATTCTTGCCTGGAGAATCCCATGGACAGAGGATCCTGGTGGGCTATAGTCCCTGAGGTCACAAAGAGTTGGACGTGACTGAAGTGACTTAGCACGCACACTTTCTGGATATGTTGTGTGTAATAGTCAGCTAGGGCTGCCACAGTAGAATAGCACAGAATGGGTGGTTTAAACAACAGAAGTCTATATCCTTACAGTTCTGGCGGATGGAAGTCCAGGATCAAGGTGAGGGCAGGTTGATTTCTCTGGATTCTCTCTCCTTGGCGTGTAGAGGGCCATCTTCTCCCTGTTTCCTCACATGGCTTTCCTCTGTGAATGAGCATCCTTGGGATCTCTTCTTCTTCTAAGAACGCCAGTCATATCAGAGTAGGATTCCACCCTTATGACCTCACTTAACTTCAATTACCTCTTTAAAGGCTACCTGGTTACCATGGTCTGGCTGTTTGTGTCTCTCCCAAAATTCATGTGTTGAAATGTTAACTCCTGGGACCTCCCTGGTGGTTCAGTGGCTGACACTCCACGCTCCCAATGCAGGTGGTCCGGGTTCAGTCTCTGGTCAGGGAACTAGATCCCACATGCTGCAACTAAGAATTCACATGCCACAGTGAAGATCAGGATCCCGTGTGCTGCAACAAAGACCCGATGTAGCCAAATAAATAAGTATTAAAAAAGAAATCTTGACTCCCAATGTGAAAGAATTGGGAGGGAGGGAGCTAATGAGGGTTGTGGAATTAATTAAAGAAAGAATCCCGAGCTGAAACTGGAGTCAGGACAGACCATACATTGTCAACAACTCCAAACAGGAAGAGACTCATGCCTATCTCTCAGCAGGAAGGTATCGCCTACTTTACTATCCAGCAGTAAGAAGAAAACTTCTCTCCACCAGATGACATTCCAGCCAACCAGAGACTGTAGTGCCCCAACCAGTAAGAAACCTCCACACTTTGGACTGGACCCCTTGTTCCTCCACTGGACTCTTTGGTTATAATAGCCTTTCCCAAAGATCCCTTTTCCCCTATAAAAGCAAGTTCCTCTTCCTTGTTCTCTGGATTTGCATGTGGTACACCATAGTTTCTATATTCCAAATTCAATTCCCCTGGCTTTTCTTAAATCAGCTCAGTTATGCTGGTAAAATAACTGACTGTTATATTATTAAAGTTGGCAGGGTAGAGTCACCATATATGGGATTAATGCTGTTATCTGTGAGACCACCCAGTACATTCTAACCTTTCCCACCATGGGAGGATTCAGTGAGAAGGCCCTAGCTATAAACTAGGAAAAGAGACTCAGCAAAACTCAACCATGCTGGTGCCTTGATCTTAGACTTCCAGATACTTTTGTTCCTAGAAACCTAGATAAACTCTGCCACTAATGCTGAAGCTTCCTGGTGGCTCAGACAGGAAAGGGTCTGCCTGCAGTGTGGGAGACCCGAGTTCGATCTCTGGGCAGGGAAGAGCCCTTGGAGAAGGTAATGGCAACCCACTCCATTACTCTTGTCTGGACTGGACTGTAATAACCAAATGGCTGTAATAACCGGTGTCCAGTGGAGGATTTAACTAATGCTGAGGATTTAGCTTTCGCTGTTGTTGTTCAGTCGCTAAGTCGTGTCCGACCCTTTGTGACCTTTGAACTGTGAGAACTAAATTTCCGTGGCTTATAAACTACCCAGTCTGTGATATTTTGTTATAACAGCCCAAAAGTTAGACAAAGTCTTAGTCACATTTGGGGTCAGAGCTTCAACATATGAATTTATTTATTATATTCTTTTTCAGATTCTTTTCCATTATAGTTTATTACAAGATATTGAATACCGTTCCCTGTGCTGTATGTTTATCTGTTTCATATATAGGAGTTTGTATTTGCTAATCCCAAACTCCTAATTTAGCCCTCCCTCCCTTTTGCCTTTGGGAACCATAAATTGGTTTCCTATGTGAGTTTGTTTCTGTTTTGTCAATAAGTTCATTTGTATCATTTTTTTTGATTCCACATATAAGTAACATCATGTGATATTTGTCTTTGTCTGACTGACTTCACTTAGTATGATAATCTCTAGGTCCATCCATATTGCTGCAAATGGCGATATTTCATTCTTTTTATGGCTGAGTATTTCATTGTATGTGTGTATTTATATAAGGAGAAGGGGGTGGCAGAGGATGAGATGGTTGGATGGCATCACCAACTCAATGGCCATAAAGTAGAGCAAACTCTGGGAGGTAGTGGAGGACAGAGGAGCCTGGCGTGCTGCAGTCCATGGGGTTGCAAAGAATGGACACAATTTAGTGACTGAATAATGAACAACAATATATATATCATATCATCTTTATCCAGTCATCTGTCGGTGGACACTTAGGTTGTTCCCAAGTCTTGGCTATCATAAATAGTGCTCCTGAGAACACTGGGGTGTATGTGTTTTTTCAAATTAGAGTTTTCTCCTTATATATGCCCAGGAATGGGATTGCTGGGTCATATGGCAACACTATTTTTAGTTTTTTAGGGAAACTCCATACCGTTTTCCATAGTGGCTGCACCAATTTACATTCCCACTAACAGTGTAGGAGGGTTCCTTTTTCTCCACACACTGTCCAGATTTTATTATTTGTAGACATTTTTAATGATGACAACTAAATTAGCTTTATGGTAAGTATTGATATCTGCTTAAGTACGGCATGTTCCCTTCCTGATTCTTCCTTAGAAATATCCTGACTTTTAAAAAGTTAATGAATTATTTTCCGGCTGCAGTGGTCTTCATTGCTGCATGGGCTTTTCTCTAGTTGCGGTGAGTGGGGGCTACTCTCTACTTGCCACAACAACAACACTGTATTTTAATAGAATTTTATAATTTTATGATGAAGATTTTACATCGGTTTGGTTAAAATTTCCTAGTTACTATTTGTGCTGGATTGAATAGTGACCTTTCCCCAAATTCATATCCTCTCTGACCCTCAGAATGTGACCGTATTGCAAACAGGTCTTTGCAGATGTCACGAGGTGAGATGAGATCTTACCGGCCTGGGGTGGGCCGTCAGTCCACGATATGTGTCCACTGTGAAGGCCAAGCAAAGACACGGAAACACTGGGAAGGTGGCCACGTGGCAAGAGAGGCAGAGACGGGGCTGAGGCAGCCACCAGTCAAGGAAGGCCACGGATTGCCAGCCGTCAGCAGAAGCTGAGGGGGGTGCGGAGAGATTCTCTGCTAGATCCTTTGGAGGAAGCATGGTCCCGACAGCACCTTTACTTCTGATTTCTGCCTTGCAGAACTGTGAGAGAACCAATGTCTGTTATTATAACTTTAAAAAATTAAGTAACGTTTGGCTGGGCCGAGTCTTCACCGCCGCACGTGAGCTTTTTCTCTAGCTGGGTGCACGGCTCCCCACTGCGGCGGCTGCTCTCGGGGCAGGGCGCGGGCTCCAGGGTGCCCGGGCTTCAGTAGCTGGGTCGCGTGGGCTCAGCAGCTACGCCTTCCGGGCTCTAGAGCACAGGCTCAAACCCGCGGTGCACCGGCTGCGTTGCTTCAAGGCACGTGGGGTCTTCCCGGATCACAGACAGAGCCTGAGTCTCCTGCACTGGCAGGCAGATTCTTCGCCCCTGAGCCACCAGGGAAGCCCCAATTTCTATTATTTTAAGTCACTCAGTTTGTGGCAATTATGGTGTCCAAAGGAAAATAATACATTGTTAAATTTTTTTTTTAAATAAGCAAATGGGACCTTATCAAATTTAAAAGGTTTTTCACAGCAAAGGAAACCATAAGCAAAATGAAAAGGCAACTTACAGACTGGGAGAAAATATTTGCAAATGAAGTGGCTGTCAGGGATTGATTTCCAAAATATACGAATAGCTCATGCAGCTCAATATCAAAAAACAAACCAATCAAACATGGGTAGAAGACATAGACATGTCTGCAAAGGAGACATACAGGTGGCCGACAGGTACATGAAAAGATGCTCAACATCCCTAATTGCTGGAGAAATGCAAATCAAAACTACAATGAGGTATCACTTTATGTCAGTCAGAATGGTGATAATCTAAAGATCTGTAAACAATAAATGCTGGGGAGGGGTTAGAGATAAAGGAAAACTTCTACATTGTTAGCAGGAATGTAAATTGGTGCAGCCACTATGGAAAACAGTATGGAGCTTCCTTAGAAAACTAAAAATAGAGTTAACATATGGTCCAGCAACCCCATTCCTGGCGTACATTAATAGACAACTCTAATTTAAAAAGATATATGTACCCCAGTGCTCATGGAAGCACTATTTACAACAGCCAGGACATAGACACAACCTAAATGTCCAACAACAGATGGAGGGATAAAAAAGTGTGGTGCAATATGTAAAATAGCTAATGGGAATTTTCTCAGAAAACTCAAACAGGGGCTCTGTATCAACCTAGAGGGGTGGGGTGGGGAGGGAGAGGGGAGGGAGGTTCAAAAGGGAGGGGGCATATGTACACCTATGGTTGATTCATGTTGAGGTTTGACAGAAAACAGCAAAATTCTATAAAGCAATTATCCTTCAATTAAAAAAAAGAAAGAAAAGAGAAAACCCAAAAGATGTGGTACATATATACAACGAAAGATGACTCAGCTATAAAAAATAAAGGAATAATGCCATTTGCAGCAACATGCTTGCAACTAGAGATTATCATACTGAGTGAAGCAAATCAGACAGAGAAAGACAAATATCAAGTGATATCACTTATCTAAAAAATAATATAACTGCATTTATTTATGAAACAGAAACAGACTCATAGACGTAGAAAACCAAAGGGAAAATGTGGGGAGAGGGGAGGGATAAATTAGGAGTGTGGGATTAACAGATACAGAACACTACCTATAAAATATATAAACAATAAGGATATATTGTATAGTACAAGGAACTATTTTTAATAACTTATAATGGAAAAGAATCTGAAAAAATTATATATAACTGAATCACTTTGCTGTACATCTGAAGCTGACACAGTATTATGAATCAATTATACTTGAATAAAAATTTTAAAAAAGTGTTTTTAGGATTCTTTTTACAAACAATTCCTTTCAGAAAATATATTTCTTTGGGGAATTCTCTGGCTGTCCAGTAGTTAAGACTCCACAGTTTTCACTGCTGAGGACCTGCATTCAAGATCCCACAAGCCATGCAGCGTGGCCAAAAAGAAAAGAATATTTTCTCATTGTTCCTGGTGAATAGAAACACTACTTACTTTTAGGTATTGATTTAGTTTCTGGAAAACTTGAAAACTTAATTCTTGCTAAGTACTAAACTCTACTACTAATGCTGATAATTTATCTTTAGACTCTTTCAAATCTATGATGTCTTAAAAACATTTCATCAGATTGTAATGATAATAGCTGTGGTGGTTTTAATGTGTCCACAAATTCCTTGCTATTTCCCTTGTTGAGTGGTGGAACTTTTTTTTCTGGCCATGCCATGCAGCTTGTGGGATCTTAGTTACCTGACCAGGGATTGAACCCCAGCCCACAGTAATGGAAGCACTGAGTCCTAACCATTGGACCACAAGGGAATTCCCCAGAGGTGAAACTTGATTCCCCTTTCCTTGGAATGTGGTTCTGGCCTGTTGCTGACAGAGCAAAGTGGAACTGATGGTATATTTCACTTGTGATATTGAGTTGTCTAAAGACTGCCGCTCTTGGGGAATTGCCTGGCAGTCCAGGGGTTGGGACTCTGCGCTCTGACTGCTCAGGTGTTTTTGTTGTCCTGTCACTAAGACCTGTTTGACTCTTTGCGACCCCATGGACTGCAGCACGCCAGGCTCCCCTGTCCTTCACTCTCTCCTGGAGTTTACTCATATTCAGTCCACTGAGTTGACGATGCCATCCAACCCTGTCATCCATCCTCCTTCTCCTCCTGCCCTCAATCTTTCCCAGCATCAGGGTCTTTTCCAATGAATTGGTTCTTCGCATCAGGTGGACAAAAGATTGGAGCTTCAGCATCAGCATCAGTCCTTCTAATGAATATTCAGGGTTGATTTCCTTTAGGATGGACTAGTTTGGTCTCCTTGAGTTCCATCCCTGATTGGGGAACTCAGATCCCAGGAATTCCTGAGGTGCTGTTACAAAAAAAAAAAAAAAAAGACTGCAACTTTCACCTGTGCTTTCTCCACGTCTCTCGGAGCACACCCTTTGGGGGAAACCTGCTGCCTTGGAGTTGGTAAAAGACCACTGATTACAAGTTCCATTCAGAAAAGGGAAAACGGTCAGCACACAGCCACCAGAGTCCACAGGCGGAGGGCAAAGCCCCGGCTCGGCCATCGAGCGCCTCCTGCTTTTCTGTGTAAGAGGACCTATGCATGGAGGCTCTTCCTTGTCTCTCGCCTTCTCAGGCCACAGATGAAATATGCCCTGGGGAGTGCACCCTTTTGGCGCTAATGTAGCTTTGGAAGCCTGCTACTTGCCGCTGCAAGGGCCAGACTCAGGAGTTCCTCCAGGGTTTAGCACACCTGGTCTGGAATTTCTTTGGCGATGTCATTTCTTCAGTACCCAAGGATACTTCCTGTTTACTTCTGGTCAGGTCAGTTCTAATGGGAAGGTAATCACAGACAAAAATCTCACGAAGACTCCTGGGTTTTGTTCAGTGGTCTCTGTGCCCTGTCCCTCCCGACTCTTTCAGCCCCGTGATGTCCGCGTGAAGCAGTGGCTTTGATAGGAAGGTGACAGTTATCCTTTGGTCTTTGTTGCTTGGCTGGCGTTCACCATCTGGGGAAGCACCTTTAAAGGAGACACTTGAAACAAAATCTTGGGGCCTCGGTCTCATCTCATCGGGAAGACAACTTCTTCTGCAGCCATCTCTTATAGCTGTTTCAGGTTGGGGTGCAGAAATCCTTGCCATTGTCCACCCCAAATGACAGTGGTGGTGGCCTCCTAGACCTCCTTCAAGGCAGCTACTCAGAAAGCACAGTTGGGTGTCAGCCTTCAGCCACAGTTCCTTTTGCTCCACCGTACTGTTCATGGGGCTTCCCCGGTGGCTCAGTGGTAAAGAATCCACCTGCCAAGCAGAAGACTCAAGTTCGATCCCTGGGCTGGGAAGATTCCTGGAGGAGGAAATGGCAACCCATTCCATTATTATTATTTCTTTAACTTTTAAAACATTTTCTTTATTTTTAATTGGAGGATAACTGGGGCTTCCACGGTGGCTCAGATGGTAAGGAATCTGCCTGTAGTGCAGGAGACTGGGGTTCAATCCCCGGGTTGGAAAGATCCCCTGGAGAAGGGAATGGCTACCCACTCCAATATTGCTGCCTGGAGAATCCCACGGAGAGAGGAACCTGGCTACAGTCCATGAGGTCACAAAGAGTCGGACCTGACTGAGCAACTAACACTTTTACTTTCTGCTTTACCACAATCTGTTGGTTTCTGCCATACATCAACATGCATCAGCCACAGGTATAGGTGTGTCCCCTCCCTGTTGAACCTCCCTCCTACTTCCCACCCCAACCCACGCCAGTATTCTTGCCTGGGAAATCCCACGGACAGAGGAGACTGGCAGGTTACAGTCCATGGGGTCCCAAAGAGTTGGGCATGACTTAGTGACTAAACAACAACAATAGTGTTCACACCAAGGGCATACCCTTCTCCCTCAGGGAGACGGAGTTCAGGACTGCCTGTTACCCCTGTTGCTCCCGTGGATGATGCAAGTAGATGTCAGCCTCGGGTGCTATTCTTCTGACAAGTTTCCCATAAAGCTCTCCTCCTCCAAACCCTCTCCTGGGCTTGTTGGAGCTGGTGAGCCATAGTTCGCATGTGCCTGGCTCACCCACCCCCATCTTGCCCCTGGCTGGACTGTCCATGGAGAATTGTGCCAACTCTACTCAGGCCTGTGGAGGGAAAGCTGCTCAGTTCCCTGTGTTCCTAGTGCGTGCTCCTCCCCTCCTTCCCCAGCAGTGGAAGACACTGCTGCTATCTTCCCCCTTGTCTAATGGGACAGACATGCCTTTGGAGTGCTTGCTGCTCATCTGAGAGTCCTCTTCCTTTGTCATCCTCCAAGCCCCCTCCCCCACTGCACTGGATCCCCCACTCACTGCAGGTTTCCCACCTTGCTCCTGGCCCTCTTCCCCACCCCATACCTTGCCACCATCATCCTAGTGGAGTTCCATGCTCACACAGCCACCATCCCACACGTGGGGCCCCAGGTCCTCAGTCTCTTCGTATCCAATAAGCAGTTCCCACTAGCTCAGGGCATTGTAAATTAAAAAAAAAAAATTATCTTTCTCTTTCTTTCCTTTGTAGCTGTTTGCTCTCCTCTGCCC